ACACTGCCTCCCGCACAGGAAGGGCGCCATGCTGGGAGCTGGGCATGACCCACAGCTGGCGCCTCTGGATCACGGCCTGGCGCCCATCCTGGGCTATAAGCTGAAGCCTGGCCTGGACCTGGACGCTGAGCGCACCTATCACGGCCTGGCCATCCCTGAGCTGCCATTCAGCCAGCACCTCTACCTGCGCCGGTTCCCTGAGAAGGCCCTGTGGCTCTCCAGGGCTCGGAGGGATGACCCCCCAGGAGCAAAGCCCCTGCAGGGACAAATGCACAGTTGTCAGGACCCAGTGCAAAATGGAAACGCCTTGTTCAAAAAGCAGAAAAAGGTACCACTAAAGATACTGAAATAGGAAACCTTTTTCTTTGAAGATATTTTATGGCTAAGAAAACATAGTGGGGTAATAATGATACAGGAGTAACAACATGAACTTAGAAACTACAAAAAATACTATATTAGGTGTGGTAATTTCACAGAATACAACCAATAATAATACTTTATAATGGTGTAACTTGATGAATCAATTTTTCTGACTGCCTTTTCTGCAAAATCGTTCGCTAGATGGTCAAAATGTATACTTTTAGCAATTTAATTTTGAACCAAGTATTATTGAAAGCAATAGTAGCCATTCTTGGCAAATGCAAGACTGCAGATAACTTTTGACAATTTTTAACTTTGAGAAGGCTCTTTCTGCTGACGCAACCGTGGCTGGGGCTGTTGAAAGTATTTTATAGGCTATGACAATGTTGGGATACGTTTCTGATCACTTATTTCAAGAAGTAAATTTTGGTACATCTAGAGCTGGTTATTCGTTCGGAAACATTTTCTAAAAAGATTTAACTCTTCATACTCGTCAGTTTTGTGTGCGTCTGAGTTTAGCTTTAAACGTACATTTTACAGTCTCCTCTCACATCTCCTGTAACTTGTGGTGTTGTTGGGTGCCGTGGGGTCTGTTCCGACTCATAGCGCCCCTGGGAACAACAGAACGAAACCCTGCCCGGTCCTGCGCCCTCCTCACAATCGTTGTTATGCTTGAGCCCATGGTTGCAGCCACTGTGTCAATCCATCTCATTGAGTGTCTTCCTGTTATTCACAGACCCTCTACCTTACCAAGCATGATGTCCTTCTCCAGGGACTGGTCCCTCCTGATAACATGTCCAAAGTATGTGAGACCAAGTCTCACCGTCCTTGCTTCTAAGGAGCATTCTGGTTGCACTTCTTCCAAGACAGAATTGTTCGTTCTTTTGGCAGTCCGTTGTAACTTGTGGAGGTCAGTATATAAGAAACTGAAAGAGCCTTCATGACTTGTACATAAATTAAAACATCTCTTTATATATTTTATCACTGTATCTTCGACAACAAGGAAAAATTAATTTTAAACTTGTCTTCCACATTAATAATGGGTTCATCCAAAGCTTCGTATTAAAATTGTTTTCCTTTTGGTTGAATGTGACTATTTTGAAATTGAATTTCTTGTGGATATTTGCTTTGCAATTCTTTAGCGGTTTTCAGAAGTGGAGATTCTAAACTCTGACTGACCCTGATAACTTCCTGAAACACACCATTGCAGCGTCCACGTGTAGGCCTGTATTTTGTCCTCACTCACTGATGCAGGTTGCTGTCTGAGCCTGGTGCTCAGGCTGGGGGGCTCATATCTGCGCAGTTATTGCAGGGATGGGCTTTGGGGCTGGACGGGCCAGCTGGCCTCCCACCCCACATGCC